GGAAAAAAGGGGGGGGGAGAAAAAAGGAGGGGAAAGGGGGGGGGGGGGGGGGGGGGGGGGGGGGGGGGGGGGGGGGGTCGTACACTTCTAGCGACAGCGGTAGCCGGTGACGCCCATATTGGAGATTTGGTAGAGGCTGGCAGCTAGAAGGTGAGCAAAGGGTCGGGAGGTGGGGTGTATCTGCTGCTGCTGCTGCTGCTTGGCCAGGTATATGTTTACAGCTCCCTCAACGCTTGCCATTTGTTGTTGAATATCTCGTCAAGTGTGAGCAACGCCGACCGATGTCTCTCCCCCCCCCTTAAGATATCGTGCCACACTGTAGAATATTTGGGACCCGGCAATCCACCCCAGTTTATCCCCAAAACCCTCGCAGCCATAAACTCAACTAAATAATAGTCGCTCCATCATGTAACCGTCAACATCGGCCGGATTATCAGCCAGTCTGAGTTCTGGGGTTGCATGTTTTCTCGTTGGCCGACAACAGCAATCGCGAGGTTTCGATGTATTAGTATGAGTTACTCTTGGTGTTGAGCCAAAGCAACACAGGTAGCCAGTGGCATCTACAAGATTCTTGGAGACATTGTGTGAAGGAGAACGGAGGAGGACTCGGGTGATCGAAGGGCAGGGTAACTACAGCAGAGGTTCAAGGGAAAAACGCCGGCCTTGTATCGGGCACCCGGCACTATTTTGTAGAGTATATGAGACAACTTGAGTATTCCACCTGTGCCGAGCGATTTCACCGGCAGCGAAGAGGGCATCCGGCCTTGAGTTCGAGGTCTTGAACGAGGACCTCTGCTGCTCTGCTGTTTGTGGCGATGTTGTAGCGTGCAGTTGAGCTGGTGTGGGCCTAAACCGTAGAGGCTACCGTACAGCAGTAAGGCGGAAACGCAGCACCGCCAACGACCAACAATCGCGTTTGTGCGTTCGCCGTGGGTTTATCTGACACGTGTACCCTCCTCCCCTCCCGCCTCCTTCTTACATATGCGCCCCCATGTTCCCTCCGTACGTTCATACTGTGGTTGGCGTGCCCCCCGGTTTACGTTCCAGGACCCGTTGTATCCGTACGTTTGTTCGGAGTGCAAGGCCGGCTTCAACGCAGCCAAGGCCCTCGACTTTCACCAGAGAGAAGTGCACAAGGTGATTGAGTGAACTTTCAGTACGATTATTTCCCCTAATTGAACTGTCCACTATGGAAGAAGCTAAGATCGACTTCCACCAGAGAGGGAAGGGCGCGAGTGTGAAGTAGTTTTTGAAGAGCGCGTTTCTTTCATCCTGAGATGCCTGAGATGTACATTTCCTGTAGCTTCTTGCAGATGTCTGCAAATGTGGGGACAATTGGAACATTCTGTCGCATTGGTGTCCGAATGACCTTTTTTTTTTCCAACCTGTACAAGTACTTGTAGTGGTGTAGCTCACGACGAACAGCCTTTCCACGCGAGAGGCTTGTCGCATGCAGCGTGTGATGTGCTGTGCGGTACTGGTCCTGTATTAGGCATATCTCCGACTGTGCTTGCGATCAACAAACAATAAAGTACCACTGTGGCACCGACTCTCCTTCCCGAAATGAAGACGCTGCTTGCTTCTCTGGCGAATATTCGGCCTTTATCATGATATGTAACATTTGCGGCACGTGAACGTGTCGGGAGGAGGAGGGGAAAACGTGGCGGAAACTCGGGCACATCGTTTTTGTTGTTCGGATTGCTCCCTTTTTTTTTTATGCTCACTTCTAGGGGCTAGGTGTGCGTTCAAGGTATTGTTTATTTATAGCGATCCCGCGCTCGTTTTTCGTCTTTTGTGTGTGTTGTGTTTTTCTCGTCCGATAAAGTCGGCGGCGGCAAAGGGTAGTGAGCTCGGTGGAGCGGGGCCTCCAACGCCCATGAGCGAGTGGTCGCTGTCTGACGCACGGCAATGGCTTACGAGGTAGGGGTGAAGGGGCGCGTGCGGGGGGGAGGGGGGGGGGGGGCTACGACGTGGCTGTTTTATCTATTTGATATGCTCTTTGTGTTGTTTATTCGTCAGCCCTGTCCTGATGCCGCGTTGACGTCCTAAAGGTGATGTGATATGTGGCACTGTTGTTTTGTTCACAATGCGGCACGACACGAGTTACTCTTGACGGGTGTAGACCACCAGCGCATGAGGGGATGGATTGTTCGGCGTGTTGGGTTGTTCGGCGTTTGTTTATTGCGCTATTCGTATAGCTTGGCAGCGCCCTTGCTCCCCCCGCCCCACAAAATATTTTGCCTGTTTCGTGGTAGGTTTGGAGGAGCACATGATCTCTGACTATCTCGTGGTAGGTGGTTTTGTGCCGTGTTGGGTGGTGTTGTTTCGGTTCCATTCCGTGGGACTGACAGTGAATGGGATGTTTTATGTTGCAAGCATCATTCACAGCTCCTTGTTCTGATTCTACGTTTGCAAAAGAGGAAACACCGCCGTTTCCGATCTCCAAGCACATACTCAGGAGCTGTACCTATTCTGGGCCGTTCATTAAGTGCCTCGACGCTTAAGTGTTTCGCTTCCTCCTCCGCTCCCCTGCTTCTGTGTACATGATCGTCCCTCGCCAATCAGCGTGGTTGCCGCGCTCCAACAACCGGCGGAGTATGTGCAGTCCATCTGCGGTTCGCTGGAGAAGAGCCTGGCAGCGCAGGTACGGCTTGGTGATGGTATTCGGCACGGGTGTAGGTGCTTTCGCGCCTCAACCACCTGCTTTCAGCTTTGTTCTCGACTGGTTGTTGTATCACACTTCGAGCTTCCTTATTCCAAGAGCGTCATCAATGGTCCCCCCTGATTATCGTGGGGACACTTGGAATGGGGTGATAGGCTTGGAATAGAACTCGTTTGTTTATCTTGTACGTTATCCACTACTCGAGCCCATGTTTTTTTTCTAGCACACAGCTAAAGAAAAACGCTCCTTTGTGACCTTCCTCCGGTGTGATCCCGGCTGATGCGTCAAACAATTACACCGAGAGGTGCGCAAACTACGCTAGAGTGTATGGGACGAACACACACACGAGCCCCTGAGCTTCTACCCTACAGCAGTAGAGACCCGCTGTCGACTCCGAATTTTGACGTGTGTGGGACAACTTTTAACCGTTCATGCCTTCCACGCATCCGAACCCTTTTAGGATAAGGGGCAGAGGGTCGGAGCGAAGCGAAAGGCGACGAGGACAGCGGGGCAGCAGCTGATGCTGATCAGCCTCTCTCTCTTGACGGAGCTGTGCGGGGGCAACGCGGCGGCGGCGGAGAAACTCCACCATGTACGGCCTCCGCGTCTGCTTGCTGTCTGCCGTAGGCGCCGCCCACGCGGTTGTTTTTTCTCAGTATCCCGTTGTTTTTTTCCCTTCACCCCCGCCCCTTCGACCATGGGTGTATCTAGAACGGGAGTCTCTCTTCATCGTATAATTTTTCCTAATGATTATTAATTCGCTACGGTTGCTTTGCTTTGGAGTGCTCGTCTAAAACTTACCTTGTGATGGGAGTTGAGTTTGTTTTTCTGGTGGTGTGTTTGTGCGTCCCGGGGTCAGAGTGGCATATTTTCAGTTCCTGCCGTAAGCGCGAGGGGTCGTCGCCGCACACGGAAAGCCCTTGCCCCCCCCCCCGACCCACTTGCTGTTGTCCGGGTGGGAACAATCACCGCTGCACCCCAGGAAACCGGTCGCAAACGCAGCGAGCGATCACGGAAGGACAAGAGCCGGGTGGCGAGCTACAACGCCGCCCAGCGACAAAACCAAAACGTGCGGAAGCCCTGGGTCGCCCACGTTAACGCCGAGCTCAACACGGCCAGCAAGGCAGCGGCGGCAACAAAGGCGGCGGCGGCGGCGGCGGCGGCGGCGGCGGCGGCGGCAACGACGGCGACGTCGACGTCGATGACGACGCCAGCAGTTGTATCGGAAGCAGCAGTAGCATCAACAACCGCAACAGCAGCGAGTCCAGCGGTGCCAGGGGCGGCGGTAGTTGGGGGATCTACAATGGCGGTAGCGACGGCAGATAATTCCGCTGCTGTGCCACCGACGACGTTGGGGGTTGTCGGGCCGGCTGCTGCGGCGGCAGGGGTTGTAGGATAAGCGTGGGAGGATGGGCGAAGGCGGGTTGCGCTGCCTCTTTGGCAATAGAGGTGTTGGTAGACGGCGTGGCGAGCAGAGTTGATTGAAATCAAAGCGTGGTTGCTTCGAGCACCATTCCGCTGTTTTTTTCGAGCGCCGCTGGGACTGCAACGTTTGCGTTTCACGAGCACGTTTTGGTTCTTCTCTTGTCGGGGGCGAAAGGTAGCTGTAGTCTCGGCGACGGACAGAACGCAAAGGCCAAAACCAAGAGTGACACCTACGCCGCTGTTACGGTGATGAGCGAACCCCACAATCGCTTGTGCGAGCGCGTGGTTCATCTGTCTGTGTGGCCCGGCCCATCGAGTGTTACAGTCGAATCCCCCGCCGTGGAAGCGAAAGACGATGTCATCCGTATCGACCTTCGACGGGCAAACTGATACCGATGCTGAGGGCGTGAGTGGTGCAAGATTACCCCTGCGACTATTTTGGAGCAAGCCAGCGCTTACCAAGCCAGCTAGCTGCATGTCCCTTCTCTAGTAAAATGCGGGTACCTATCAAGCGCATCCCCTCCGTGTATCTCCCCGGCTCTTTACTCCTCGGGCGACCATCAGCAGTAGGGTGCGGTCTTGGTGCCAATCGACAGCAAACAATCTTTTGTCACCGGGCTGCCTCGCTGGCATGGGACAGCCATGTGGTGCCCCTGCCAAAGCTTTCGCTGTCACTACTGCCGTCACTACCACTAGAGCGAAGCTCGCCGTCGTGGTTGTCGTCGACGACTTCGTCGACGTTTCGACGTAGCAGGACGGATGCACCCCTCTGCTTTGCAGGCTGGAAAAGCGTGTTGGGGTCGTCGCGAGGTACCTCTCGCGCAACCGCAGAGCGTCTGGGTTCGACGGCCGACAGAGGCCTGATCGTGGTGCGGGTGCCGGCTTCGGCCGCCACGGCGGCGGCACGGGCGTTCCCAACCAAGACGGCGAGGTGAGCTTGAGCGGCCGAATTGGCGAAATTCCGCAGCCGAATGCCTGGAGGAGCCGACACGCAGTACATGTCCGACCCGTCTTGGAGCAGGTCTCCCTCCGCTGACAGTTTGGCCCTGGACGAGTGCGCATGACAGTCATGAACCGACGGGAACGGGTGCGAGAGAGAACATCTTGTCGTGATTGCTATGCTACTCGTGACTCTTGCCCCCCGGGATTTGACATCGACAGCTGAGGAACGACCGCCCTCTCTGCGCCACTGAGAGGAGCCTCCTCTAGCTTGTGAAAGCTACTGTATGCTGTCGTGATTCTCCTCTCTGTTAAAGTATCAACCACAACCGGTAGAATAGTCTGTAGCAAACGCACCGCAAGAAGTTCGATTGCTCGACAACCAAGAGAGTGCGAGGAAAACTGACCGACACGGGCTAATCTCTCGACGAGATCAAGGCCATCATGACCACACCCTTTTCGGAATCTGTGAAAGTCGGTCAAGGGAATGTGCGATGACTCGCGCTTCCATGGCACTCAACGATCGCTGCATCTGATCCCAGAACTTGTCCAGCCCTGAGCAAACGCTCGGCAATCCCAGCTTCTCCGCGACAGATCTCCAAGGAAGTAGGAATTTGGTGTGCCGCCATCGAAGGTGCCGGTTGAAAACCCTGCGCACATGGAAGAACGATTCGTGTACGTAGCCCATCACGAATGCTTAGTGTTGTCGGCGATTACGAGTGTTGACTCCCCATGTGAGCAGGGAATATATTCGCAACCAGGAAGCAAAAAAGAAAGTATTTGCGATGCCGCTTGGACGGGCAACATATTCTATCCGGGTATGCATTCAAAAAAAGGTTGGTGGAGGCGGACGTTTTTCAATACAAGCCGTGTGGATGGGAAAATGGTGCTTGTACCTACCCTAGGAATCATATTTTATTGTCGGCCAGGAGATGTGCCACTTCTAGCGCGAAGAACTCGCCAAGAGGCACATCAGTAACGGGGGCCGGGAAATACGAATGAGTGCTACTTCAAGAAGGAACAAGTTGCTCGTTTTCGTGATTTATCTCGTTCGACAATCTATTTCGACCTCGTCCGCCTTCGATGACTGCGGACAAGAGGAATAAACGAAGTGAGGTTACCCCGGCCGGGTGTAACGACGTTTTCACTGTTCCACATACGAGTAGCGCACACGCACCTCCATGCTTCTTCAAGCTCGGCATGTCCAGGAGTACAGAAGTCCAAGGCCAGAACGGCGTAGCATTTCGTCAATGCACAAAGAGCCGAAACCTGTGGGCAAAGGGTTGAGGTGAAACGACCAGCCGGAGAGCGATGGAAGATCAGAGAAGGGATCGCAAGGCATATGTTCCGTTTCGTGAAGACAGTGAACAAAAAGAAGGCCCACACACCCAAGGGTGTTGCAATCCGCGGCCTAGGTCGAAGAATTGGAGAGCCTCACAGTACAAATCCCCCCTCCTTCTGCCGCTTGAGTAAGAGGGTATCGTGCATAGCGTCCTTACCTGAACCATGCGGTTGAAGGCCTGCACAGACCGGTACTTGTTCACTATCACCGACCGCAGGTACAGCTGGTCGTTGAGCTCGGAGCACTTCAGGTCCGCGATGGACAGGGTTTCGATGTCACCCGCCACCAGAGGAACCTGAAAAGTTTCGGCCCGTTCCCGACACGACAGCAAAAGCGGGGGTGCTTTGACGAATAATGGTCGACGGGGATGTGGTTGGATACAGTGTTTGGTAGGGGGGACTCATTTCCCCGAATCGTTGTAGATTAAGCACACCGGGGAATGGCGCAGGTGTCACTCGTCTTTCCAGGCCTCTGGTCGCGCCAAAGCAGAACCCTTGACAAGGAGGCTCTCCTCCGCTATCCTGAAATACATCTGGAGAAGTATGGCGGACATCAAGGTCTAGATATTTCCTCCTCGAAGATCCTCTGTTCTCACCCTTGAAGTGAGCACAATCTGTGACAAATTTACACCCCCAATACTCAAAAACAACATCAATACGCAGATGGGCGCATAAGAAAGTATACCACAATGGCCTGATACAACAACACTAGTACCTGAAAATGAGCACTGCTGCAGAGCCATGAGAGGCAGACCCGAACACGATCTAGAGTGTCTATGCCATGCGTCGCCACGAAGCAACCCCATTCATAGACACACCTGCCGCAGGGAACAGGTTTCGATATCGCCCGTCGTCGATGGTGAAACTCATACGTGTCTGAAACCGTTACGAATAACGCCACAGGACTCAAAAATTGTTTGAGTTATAGAACGACACCGGTTCATCCTACGCACAGATCGAGAGGAACCAACAGATGGGTGGGGATCGTAGAGCTTATTTTAGGGACGTGGTGGACGCAAACCCGCTTGTTAATTGTGAATCGTTGTCGCCGCTTTTCATAGAGAAGGACGGGACGGCCCTCTCTTTCCGCTAGCTACATTAAAAAATCTTGTCCTGAAAAGCCTTGGCGTATCGTGTTCAAGGGCATATGGTAAACACACTCTGAAGGGTAAATCGCTCTCACCATAAGCGCCGGAAGTAGCAGGAGCTGAGCAGGACAAGTAAACCGTCGCTGTTTGTCAAAAAGTAGTCCATGTGTCTTTCGATGACCAATCTCCGCTCCAGAAAGTCGGGAGACACGCAGAACTTTTCACGTCCACAGGAGAGGGTTTGAGTGTCAATCAGAGACAGCGGGGAAAGCGTGTGGGAGTGCACGCACGCAACGATGGACAGCGGCAAAAAAAATCATGTATACGAAGGTGGCGCGAAGCCGCATGTTAACTGTTGAGTGACAAGCTCTACATTCCCTCACTAGAGCCTACTAGGTACAGCCGGAGGAGCGGTCACATTCTCGTACATCGTCGTGTATCAAAACTGCTCCGATTGCGGAACGGCGCGCATGCTTCGTTGTTTCTGGAAGGACGATGAGTATTCTCTTTATCGAGTACCTGTCTTTAGGACGGCCGATCTAGCCAACAACCAGGACCACAGAAACGAGAAGACGGTCATCATCCATAACAGGTACACAGTATTCAGTAGTAGAATCGAAATTAAAGACTCAAGACACAGTACGTACCCAGTGCCGTTCCAACTAAATACACTCACCTTGTCAATCCAAAGAATCATAGGGTCCGTCGGAACTTGCATCAATAGTTCGTCGAGGAGCGAATGCGTTTGGGACTCTCTCCTGATCACACGCTTCTCCGCCGCGATCTCGTCCAACACTTCTTTCAACTCCGCCCCCTTGAGCCTGGTAAACTCGGCCAAGTTTCGACACAAATGATCGCGACGGTCTCGAGTCCAAGTGTGAGAAATGAACCTGATTGGAAACGACGTTTTCGGGCGGAAAACGAAAGCGTGAAGCAGACGGTAAGCCTTGAACTGATGAATCCTCGTGCGGTTGAAAATTTCAGCATCTTGGAACGATCATTGGCGATTGAGGTCAACAATGCGTGCCCATCGGGAAACTGCAGTGTTCTTGAGCTCACCAGTCGACCTTGTTGACAGGACGAGACGAAAGGAAGTCCTTCTCGTTACTGCTCGAACCCGTCCATAAACTGTTCCCACCGGTGTTGATGGAATCGTCGTCGGAGCACAGAGGATGCCCTGAACCGCCCGACCCCCCCCGGGAAATGATTTCGGTCATGGCACACAAGAGCGACACATGCTATTGACGAAATGGAGCGTTTGAAGGCATTGCTTCAGGTACACAATTGCACGCGTACAGCTAAACGTCCTCACGCGCACAGTACATCAAGACACACAGAAAATTCCCAAAGTTGTTTCAACAGAGAGGTGTCCACAGAAACCTACAGGGCCTACACAGAACTCGAAGGTGCGGTCGGCAAGGGTGGGCCACTTCAACGAACGATCTGCGGCTACCTGGTAGAACGGATATTCCCCGGAACAGATCTTGCGCACTTTTGTCTCTGGCACCGAAGAAATTCCCGCCAGGCCTGTGATGCGTTGAGGCAAGAAGGAGTGCTTTCAAGGCAAATACCGGTTTTGGCGAGAGCACGGCAGGGTGTTGGAAAACTCCTCCGGTATGTCCCGTTGTTGACAAATGCCTGGTCTCAAAATACGCAATCAAGTTCATATCAGGCACTGGAACTACAGTTAGCGCCCGCACTTAAGAACGTCTAGTTTTGCCAACGCTGGGGTGCCTACTTCCTCTCGTGGGCTACAAATGGCCATACATGTGGTAGTAAAGGGGTATTAACCGAGCTCACGAATTGTGCCGAAGTTCTAATGTTTTTTGTGTTTTTAGGCTCAGTTGCTTAACTGTCAGGTTCTTACTGTATGTAGTTGGCGAGTTGGTGGATTACCCTGTCGACCGCCTCGCCAAAGCACAATGCAACCACACGACTGTTGTTTCCAAAGAAACACCTGAAATTGAGAGCTCGATTGCGTCGCGCCTGCCGCTCCGCCTGGATATTGTCGTTTCTCCCAGTGATGGCGGGTGTCTTTGGCTGCTCGTCGCGATTTTGCATTTTAGGTTGCAGCCTTCCTTGTTGCTGGAGAATGTCCTTCATGGTCGACCCCCTCCTACTCAGGCTTCCCCTGCTACCTTTGATTTCTGTTGGGCGTCGTCTGTTTGCGCCATCCGCCCTGCCGGCGGATCTGACCGAACTGCTGTGGCGTGGTGCTGCACGCGATGGCATCAGAGTGGAAGCACCGGCTGCAGTACCTTTCCCGAACTCTTTGCCCGCTTGGCCCACCTCAGGGATCACAAAAGCTGCGTTCGTGACCGATATCTCGCTTCGGTTGCGGCTCCTATGTGGACCGCCAGGGGTGAGGTGGCGAGCACTCGAGCGGCGACCGACGCTGGTGCCGCGCCGAGAAATTGCGATCGAAATGCGCCTTGGGATATGTGTGCTCTCAATGTTGTTGGCGGTGGCGGTGGTGTTGCTGTTGCTGTCATATCTGTCACTCAGCGGTCTTGCCCCGCTAGGCACCAGAAATGGCCTGCTTACGGCGTTCTTCATGTTAGGGTGTTGCTCAATCTATTCGCCAGTGTGCCTACGGCGCGAGTGATCGCGGAAGCTGCTGTAGAGGTGGTAACGTTCTGGTGTTACTTTTTTTAAAGCCCAAAAGGAGAGCCACTCGTACCCCACTGAGATGAGCTCAGGCACGAACTACCACGTCTTCAAGCAGAGAGATAGAGGGGCCCTCTGCCCTGCTGTCCACGGCGTAGGCCAGAACATGCGACATGTACAGCAGTTGTGCGGTGTGCGTTTGCGAGGTCGGAAATTAGCGGAAATATGTGAAAAAAGTTTTGTGCGTGGCAATAGGTGCCGGTTCATATCATGAACCAAAATTTGGTCAGCGTGTCACCCGGGGGCAAGGTCATTTTGTCCCCTGGTTGTAAGCAGGGTACGAACTGCCTACAACTACAACCGCGGCGCCCCCCAGCAAAGTCGCGAAGTTCGTGAAAACGGACAGAGGTTGACCCATCACCGAGAGCGTTTGGGTGGCAGAAATAAGGAGAATCCTACGATCATGGTGAGCTTCATCTTTTCATTGCAACGCTGGTCTCGATTCATCCGCCAGCCCAGCTTGTGTTGACACTGGTCGACGACCAAAGAAAACGGCGGATTCTTTACACAGCCAAAAGTGTGTCCGTTCAACAATAAATCATCGTCACGCCGTGTGTGAGGGTATCTGTAGCACACACCTTTGCCCTCTCCCGAGCAGCTTGGCGACCCTCGGCGTCATTTGTTGCTGGTGTACCTGGACGGTAGTAGCCCTCTTTATTTCTGTGCATTTTCTCGTCGCTGGGCGATGGTGCTCCCTCTGCAATCTGTTGTGTCTCTCGCTGCTCGACTTGAAAATCAAGCCCTACTGGTGTGCTGCAGACTGGCCCATCACTGCCATCTCACCGCCGCTCTCTCTCTTCCCTACAAGTAGTCGTCTCGCTCCCTCGGCAACGCCGTTGGCATGAGGTGCTTTTTGACTGCGCTTGATAAAGTTCAAGTTCCCCGCTCCCTATTCGTTGACCGCCGGCCATTTTTCGAGACCCCGATGGACGTGACGCGTAGGCGAAGCCCACCCACAGCGGCGTTGCATCCATATTTTTGAACGACAGCAGAGGCGGCGTCGTGAGCCGAAGTTCTGCAGGGTGGGTAGCAGCAGGGATGGCAGCAGCGTTTTAGCGACGGGGATGGTGGATGGCATTTAGCCCGTTGTTGGTTCATTAGCCTTTTTCCGGCGGGGGACTCACATGATTTTAACCTCTTGGTTGTGATGGCAAGACCTACAGCAGTCAGTGTACCGATGTACCGACGACTCGCTGCTACAGCCGCACAACCCGCAGTTTGCTTTGAAGGGCCCCTCCGGAGTGGGCTCATGAGAGCACGGGATCGTCAAGGGGTGATGCGAGATGGAACCAAAAGCAGGCAGCAGGACCACACCACAGCTGGGTGCCGCCTGACAGTCAGTCATGGTGCTCCCCGAGCTCAACAGCCCGCACTGTGCGGCTCCGTGTTTTTGACTCGAAGAGCCCAGCGAACCTCAGCGAAGCAAGGACGATATCGTTGCAAATCTGTATGTACTCGAAGTTTCGCATGTACTGACCGTTACAGTACAGCAGCACTAGTCCTCATGACTGGCATTGAGTATACCAACATTCCCCCGCAATGGAAAGTCGTGAGAAGAAATTCCCACGAAGAAAGAGTCTTAGGTGGGTGTACAGAGTTTGCTCCAATACGACAGCAGTTGATGATGAAAGCAACACCCGTGCAGGAAATTATTGCAACACAGCCGCATGTCCGCTGTGGCCAGGCGCTTATTCAGATACAGCAGCGGCAGTCGCTGTGTTCGCTGTGTTCATTAGCCATGAGATATGATACTGCAAAAATTCCGGTGCTTGTTTTATTGATCAGAAACAACCAACACTGTACACCATATCAGTTGAAATGAAGACACCTCTGACACCTGGCTATCAGAGAACCAACTGCCTGGAGGCAAGCAAACACAAAAGGCACAGCACTAGAATGTCCTGATAGTACATGACAAAGATTCAAAAAGCATGTTCATGAATGCATCTGGCTATGAATAGTAATAGCGGCAAGAGCGAACGATCTACGTGTGCAATGCATCTACCCATGACTACCACAACAACGCATGTACAGATGCGCTGCGCAGTAGCTATGCAGAGAGGCAATAGCCCGGATGGACTGCAATCCATGGACTCATTTCGCGTCAGATCTCAACTTGCGTTTACTCGAAACATTACTGGCAGAAAGGCTGAACACAGGAGAACAACAACAAAGAAAAAGGAATCTTCCACCCAGCATCAATTGAATCACGACGGTACAGGATCTGCCTGTTTGGTTGCACAACTTTATCTGGCGAATCCGTCCTTCCCGGCAAGAAGGAATATGGTGCCAAGTCCGCGACATGCTCGAAGCAGCGGTTGTGTCGATCTCGACCGCAGCGATGGGTGCGCCCATTGTTGTCGACTATATCAAGAAGACAACTACTGTCGGTTGAAGTCGTGTAGAATACTCCCCCCACAGCACGTGAAAACCGGTATGAGGCGGGTCGGCTTTTTAACCATCGTCGCCTTCAATTCTTCACAACTTCATGCACCTCGACATCTTCGGACAACGATTCAGTTCCGCCGCATCTTGTCGAAAAATGTCTTCGCATCGATCACACCGCGGAAACCGTCGACCCGAATCGCGTCCGAGCCGCGCTGTCGAGGTGCTACATTCTATGCGACCTCAGCGGGGGAATAGTCTTCTTCCAAGGAAACGGTTGGAGATGGCTGCCTTGGTCGCCTCCCCCCAGCGCCGTTTTCATGTCCTCGAGTGCCCGCAGCATTCCAGTGTGCCCCACATTTCGCGCTCGCACCTGAACTTCGTCTGGAATTTCTCTGTTATTTAGATGTGAGCGCCGCTGAGGTTGGATGTCTTCCTGCTGCGCTCTCGCACCTGGGCGCGCCCCCGGCAACCGTAGCACCTGTCGAGAGCACTCTTTGTCCTGTTCTTCTCCGCCAGGAGAACCGCGTGGGGTTGATTCAACCCCAAGCGGCGCTCCTGGCGGGAAATTCCAGACAAAGAGTGGTCTAGACGAGTGCCCAGGTGCGAGAGCGCAGAAAGACGCGAATGCTGCGGAGATCGAACGAAGAGGAAGCGAATACCGCGCTGGGGCAGGCGACAGCCGTCCCCAACCGTCTCCTTCTCGAAGAAGACGATTACCCGGCTCAAGAAGTCGCGTAGAATGCTCCGGCTCCACAGTAGTGAAAACCGGAATGGACGGGTCGCCTACAATGGTCGTCGCCGTCAAACCGCATCTCTACATCTTGGAACAGCTAAGTTCGGCCGCATCGTGTCGGAGAGATCTTCGCATCGCATCGCGGAAATCCATCTGCCCGAATTGCTTCCGAGCCGCGCTGTCGGGGGGGTATTTTACGCGGCCACTTCAGCCGGGCAATAATCTTCGAGGGAAATGGTTGGCCGGTCGCGTTTGGAGGCGTGATCGTACGTCCGGCCGGGCTGCCTCGATCGCCTACTCCAGCGCCTTGTCCCTGTCCTCCTCAGTGGAGGATTGCCGCTCCAGTCATTACTGCTGTCACGTCTTGTTTCTGCTCTCGCGCCTGGGTGCGTCCCCCGGCAACCGTGGCGCCTGTCGAGAGACCACTCTTGGTGCTGTTCTTCTCCGCCAGGAACGCCGCGTGGGGTTGATTCAACCCCAAGCGGCGCTCCTTGCGGAAACGAACAGGACGAAGAGTGGTCTCGACGAGAGCCCAGGTGCGAGAGCGCAGAAATAGGTGTTGCTGGGATGCTGCTGCGGCAATCGAACGACGAGGACAGGAGAAAACGGCGATGGGGGAGGCGATGAGGGCAAAGCCCAGGAGGACGGTGATGGATCCAACGCGACCGCCGACCCTTTTCCATGGAAGGAGACGATAGTCCGGCTTAAATCGCGCAGAATAGTTTTTCTCTCCCCCCCCGCCAGCGAGGCTCGGAATCGCGTTCGGGTAGGCGGATTTCCGCGCTGCGATGTGAAGAACTTTCCGACGCGATGCGGCGAAACTTAAACTTTGTACTTGCTCGAAGATGTAGATGTGCAGTTGTGGAGGATTTTAAGGGGGCAATGATAATCCTAGCCGACACCGTTCATTTCGGGTTTTAGCGCACGTTTCTCGGCGTGGAGTCGTGCTGAAGACCCCCGACCGAAAGTCGAGGGTTCTTGCTCCTCGTCAGAATCGCGCCGATGCAAACGAAGGCTGGCCTCCCCCGCGGTCCGGGGACGGGAAAAGTTTTGAAGAATCTTGCAGAAGGTCTACCGCGCACAAGCCTAACAAGCACGGTAGCAGGAAGGGGGAGGCATTACAACAAGATTACAACTATATATAATTAAGTCCTGTGTGCCCCTTCCTCCTGTGTCCCGGCTAGTATGTGCCAAGATTTCCTATTTTTCACCGATATATCTGCCAGAATGGTAGCGCCAAACGATAAAAGGCGCCTTGTCCGTAGCACCGTGAGCCGTACTGGAAAAGTTGCCTCGTCCTCAGCGGCATAAGTACACCAGTGTGTGCTCTATCTCTCTCTCGTCCGTGCCTGCTGGGCGTGGGCTGAACGTGTAGATGGCGATGGCGTCGGCTGCGTTTCGATGATCTGGTGCTACAGCAAGCAGTACCCCGTCGTGGTGGTGTCTTTTTCTGCTGTACATAACCACTTTTCGTCATCTTCCTCATGCCCTTCTTCGTGATCCCCGTCGCCGTTCGCCTACTTTTCTAACCGGGGATGTCATCCGGCTCGTGCTGCTGCTGCTGCTGCTGCTGCTGCTGCTGCTGCTGCTGCTCATGTTTTTTGGCCCGCGTTGATTGATCCAGACTGCGTTCGAGGCGAGCGGGGAGCCGAGGGCGGCCGAGCGAGAGAGCCGCCCCCTGCAACTGGTCAGCACCGGAGATGCGGAGAACGATTACTCTTTTAAGCTCTGCGAGGAGAACCTCGACCGCGTGCTGTCCAAGGTGAGGACGCCTGATGCTGCTGCTGCTGCTGCTGCTGCTGCCTCCGCTGCTGCCGCTAGTGTCGTAGTCGTCGTCTCCGTCGCCATCATTGATGTTGATGTTGATGTTGATATCCGTATGCTGAAATTCGTTCTTGGTGATGGTATGGTATTTGCAGTCAATTTTCTTAGGTTTGTCTGTCGTGCTCGGTCCCCGCTGTTCTAGATCACACTGCTGACCCCTCTGTACGCATGCGAGTTGCCGTTGGCTCTTTGGTTTGACTCCGGCCCCGCGTACGGACGCGACTGCTGCGGGCCTAGTCCACCACGTTGAGGCGACCGAATACGTCACGCATTGTGTCCCCCTTCCGCCCGCTTGCCGGGCAAACCCGGTTTTCGAGACGACCGCGGGCTAAACTTGCCCCTACAAAACTATTTATCTCGCCCGGGCCGCTTGTTTCTCGGCGATGGTGGCCGCCACCAATCGCGCGGGTGGCACGCGAAAAGCGAGGCCGTTCACGAAGTAGGCGGTAGACAGAAGTCTTGGGTTTTGTTTTGTCCTCGAGGGAATGACCAGAGCCAGTTTTTGTGCTCCTGTGTTTGTAAACTGTCTATCCCCCCGACTTAATGTTGACACTTTTTTTTTTTTTTGTGCAGGTACCGGACGGGATGGAGGTGTCGGTGGTTTCGGTTGTGGGCGCGTTTCGCACGGGAAAGTCATTCCTGCTCAGCTTTTTCCTGCGGTACCTCAACAGCGGGTGAGAAACAGCAGAGCGGCAACGCACGCAGAGAAATGGGGGAAGGGGGGCGGGGAGAAACAAGGAGAGAGACAGACAGACAGATAGAGACAGAAAAGAGAGAGAGGTGTAAAAGTGGAGACTGCTGTCCTTGTTTTTTGACACGGTGCCTGTGTGCAAAATGTCTAGCTTAGCAAGGGTCCTTCAAACGAAAGTCCGTCCACCTAATGGGGGGTCATGCGCGGCAGGCACCCCCTTCACTGCACATTTCCACGGCCGTGGTCGTCGGGAGGGAGACAGATTTCCTTTTCTGTCACCTCGTGCTTGGTACTCAACCATGTTCAGATACTCAAAGTCAAGGAGTGTAGGAAGACTTGAGGTGTTAACCCCCCCCCAACCTTGCTCCTTTCTGGCCCTATAATTCCGAAAAACACGCCTTCGTTCCAAAAGGTCGGACGACGACGCGTCCGAGGCGTGGATGACAGCCGACGGACCCAGCCTAAGGGAGGGAAACCGTAACAGTGTCAAGCCGGCGGCGGGGGGGGCACAGGGAGTGCAGGAGGAAGAGGGGGAGGGGTCATCGTTGCGAAGCTTCGAGTGGCGGGGGGGCGTGGAGCGCATGACGACCGGCATCTGGATGTGGTCGGAACCGTTCGTGAGGAGGACGGAGGGGGGGAAGGAGGTGGCCGTCCTCGTGGTGGACACGCAGGGGATGTTCGATAACGAGACGTCCATGGGCCTCACGGCCTGCATCTTTGCCGTCAGCACCTTGGTGAGTTTTTTTCTTTGTGTGTTGTGTGTTGTGCGTTCGCTGCCGTTCCTGGCCTGGTTGGAAAGCTCTCCATGTAGTTCGTGTGTACACAGAGGGAAGAGAGTGCTGCACTCTTGTCGCATTAGAAATCGAAGACAAACCATTGAGAACCGAAGGCGAAGTACCGCGGGAGGGATAGGTAGGGCGAAACCCTTCTGTGTGACCACGGGTTGGAGTTAACGGCACAAGTGCTGTGAGCGCTGATTTGAAGTGAAGATGGATGGATGAGAACAAAAAAATGTGCGCCCCCCATTACCTGCCCTCTTGATGAGTGCTCAGTCTGAGCCCCCAACCGTGATTGTGCCTCGCGATGTACCGGACGGAGTTGGCACGACGGTTCACATCAGCAATGGCAGCGGTCGCTGCGGTACCCTCGCCCCACCTGCTTCGATCGAGATCACGCATGCATCCTGTCCCCCCCTCCCCGCCTCCCTTCTTTCGGCGGGATGCCACTCATGGCATGTCTATTTGGTTTGCCGCAGAGTGATGACCAGTTTCTGGGTCATCCTTGTGAAGTGAAACGTTGTATGATAGCATGGACCGCGAAAGAACCGTCATATCGCTCCATCACGGCATTGTAGGGATGCGAGGTCAATGTTCTAACCACTGCGGCATTTTTCATGAGTACACCCCCCCCCCCCCCCGTCCGCGCGGTGCACGCCTTCTACGACCCGCCGCACTTTTCGTGCCATGCATGCTCAATCTTGGGGGGCGGTGAATCGAATTGGATTGTTTCGGCCCTTTGTCCCAACAACAACAGCTGAGTTCCTGCCAGATCTACAACGTGGAGAAGCGCATCCAGGAGGACCACCTGCAGCAGCTCGCCCTCTTTTCGGAGTACGGGAGGATGGCCCTCAACAAGGAGTACGCCCTCGCCACCGGGGCCGATGCCGACGCGGAGGTGGAGGCGGCGGCGGCGGCGGCAGCGGCGGCGGCAGACCGAACCGGCGGAGATCCCGCCGCAGGTGAGGGCACGGGGTCCCCGTCTCTCAAGGGCGGCGCAACAGCTGTGTCAACCGCCGTCGGTTTCGCCGCCAAGGCTAAGGCGAATGCGGAGGCGAGGCGAGCGGCGGCGGCGGGAGAAGGGGGGGAGGCGGCGGTTGCGGCGCCGGCGAGCCAGGACAGGATGGAGAGGCCTTTCCAGCGGCTTGAGTTCCTCGTGAGGGATTGGCAGGTGAGGGGGGCGGAGTGGGAGTTCGTGTAGCAGCAGTAACAGCAGCAAGAGCAGCAAGAGCAACGGTACTATCAGTGGTACGCGTTAGAGTTGTGACATGGCGACGTGGCGCGACGCGCGAACGCTGAACCCAGGGGTCATCATATGTGGAGTTGTAGTTGCATCGGCATGTATGCTTCTCGTGGCGCGTGGTTCGGGTTCTGGTTCGGGTTTTGTTTGTTCGGAACGCTCGCTGGTTTTCATCGTAGCGACGCAATCGCTGCGGAATGACTGCGGTAACGGCTACCGGTATGTATGTCCCACGGTGTGTCCCACGTTCCCTATCCCGGAGAGAAACCAATTCCAAACGAGACGCTCCCTTGACTATTGAAATTGCCCTTGTCGCGGATCTGATCCGCTCCCCAGCCCAAACGTCAGTAGGTATTGACCGAAAACGCCGCGTAGCTTGTTTTTGTATATCGCCGTCCTGCAGGTGGAGGAGCGGAGAAATACCACCCACATCCCCCGCTAATACACGACCTGCGATTGGTCTAGCTTCTGAACACTACGGCCATGTGCGATATGAAATGAGTAGCCTCCCCCCCCCCCTCGGCCCAAGCGCGCACCGGTTTGTCGCGAAAACAATTCTATTCCCACGCCCCGCTGCTGTGTTTGCTGTGTCGATCTTGGCTTCATTTTTTTTTTTTGCAGAATTACGAGGATGAGGATCTGCCGGGGCCCAAGCTTCAGGACGAAATGATCGACTACCTCGCCGAGGTGATCGAGGACAAGGGAATCAAGGACCTCCGTGACACGCGGGAGCAGGTAGGAGGTGTCAGGTGCAACTCAAGGCGGTGCCAAACAGCGTCTAGTTTTGGGTAAGGTGCCTTGGGACATGTGCTGCTGCTGTAGCTGCTGCCGTTGCTGCTGCCGGCGATGTTCTGGTTACCGCCGTGAAGGGGGTGTGTGTTTTTTGTTGGTTGTTTTGCGCATTCAAGTGTTTTCTCGCTGCTGTGCTTGCCTGCTCTTTTGTCTCAGTGGAGCAGTTGATACCATGGTCGCCGTGGAAGGCGCTTCCCCCGTACTGTACCGTATTTCTTCACAGGCATGCCGGGGTCGACTATCGGTAAGCATAACACACGTCGAGGCCCGCCCGACCTAAGGAATCATCATCCCCCCCCCCCCATCGCCAGATCACGTCGTGCTTCGAGAAGATCTCCTGCTTCGGCCTGACGCACCCGGGTTTCGACGTGGTCAAGAAGACCTTCAGCGGCGACATCTCTAAGATCCAGCCCTCGTTCCTGCGGCTGCTCAACACCTACGTGCGCCACATCTTCGGAGAGCTGGTGAGGGATGACGTCATTGCCAGCGGTCAAGATTAATTGTTTTGAACATCGACAGCGTTAACCGGCTGTTACCAATGAAATGACGCCAGCACCAGCGGATACAGTCGAGGTATCTGTCTCTGTGTGTCGTTATTTATGTAGCGTCGACCGCGCTAACAAGCTGATCGATTAAGGGACGTCAGCCTCACCTCTCGGCTAATAAACCGGAGAATGTTTTTTTTTCTTCTTCTTTCGTGCAGCTGGAGCCGAAGAGGATCAACGGCCGCTTCCTGACGGCGCCCGAGCTCCGTAACTACGCCTCCGCGTACGTGGAGCTCTTCCACAATGGCGCACACTTCCCCGCGGCCCGATCTCTGCTCGAGGCGACCGCGGGGGCGCACAACGGCAACGCTAAGCACGTGGCGCTCCACAAGTACAAGGTGTGGTTGTGGGAATGACCAAGGCTGCTGTGTTGGCGTTCGAGCGTGCCTTTTCCGTTCTTGTTTGACGTCGCGCGTTGTTGCGTGCGTGCGTGTGTGTGTGTGTTTTTTTGTTGTTGGCATCGACCGCGCTAACCGGCTGACCAATGAAAAGACGTCGGTGCCAGCGGGTAAAGTCAAGGTCCCTGGAAGGGGGCCAAAGTTCGAAAAATGCGCAACGCGCCAAATCCGAACGCCAGTACGACTCTCTCTACATATTATTTCACAGAGACACACATCACAGCGCGCGCGCGTGTGTGTTTTTTTTTATTATTATTAGCATCGACCGCGCTAAGCGGCAGACCAATGAAAAGACGTCAGTCTCAGTGCGGTTGAAAACACAAAACATTTTTTTTTGCGTGTGCAGAGCTTGTTGTTTAGTGTGCGTAGACGGTGGTAACCGACTGTTTGGCTGACCAATTGACAATATGTTGGCCTTGTGTATCGTAGGTTTTTGTTGTCTTGCCGCTGACTGGTTAAAAGCAAGACGTTCGCGACTGAAGGTCCGCAATCATCGAGTACACTGCATAGAGTGCTCACGCTCACACACACGCCACCCCTCTCCGCTTCGCTCCCCCCCCTTCTCGACTCTCGGTGTAACCGTCATCCGCCACGCCTTTCCGCCGACAACGCGGCCTTGCTGCCTGTCCCATCGAAGGCGGAAATGGACCGCCTCCTCGGGCCCAACGCCACGGGCTACCTGTCCCCGCCCTCTTTCGAGGAGCACGAGGGGCTCTGCCGGGAGGGGGGCCTCGGGGTGTTCGACGCCATGGCCACCATGGGCAGGCGCTCGGAGGTGTCGAGGGTGCGAGCGCTGCTGCTCGAGGAGCTGGATGATGCCAAGATTCGGTGAGAGTCTTGTCCTTGTTTGTGTGTTTGTGCTTGGGAGGGGGTGCAGAGATGCGAGAGGATGTTTTGCAATTCCCTCCGGCCCGGTTGCTTCCTCCCTCCACACATTTTTTGGGGCTCCGCGGTTTGCTTCTGTATGGTAGGGACTATAATAGTCCTGTACGGTACTCCATTAGCAGGGTTCCCGGACTGAAAACTGAACATTGCCCCCTTTCCGGGGATAGTAATCAAGCGTCCCCCCTTTCGTGTTTAGTTTAGTTTTTTTTTTACTGCAACGACATGCACCGTACCCTCTTCCTCTCGCCCATCACATCCGCAACGTTTATCGCAGTTATGCATCCAGCCTCCCAATCCGTGTGTCCCCTCGGTGTTCTCAATAGGAGTTTTCGCATGCACGTAGATATCTCTGGATAATTTGGTTGGTTTAGACGGTTCATCGTTCACCATGCCGAAATTGTTCTGGCTGGCCATGCTGCATCTCAACACGTAATATGTAGCGCATGACGTCTATTGCGGTAGGCATTTCTTGTTTTGCTGGGGGATGCTCTCTCTCACGGCGACATGTGTAAACGTTGTTTTGGTGAGCTTGGGGTCCATACCGGCACACCACCTTTCTCACCAGGGGTCATCGCAATACACATCCCAAACGAGCGATATGCGTGTGGCTTCGCGGGGCACAGCATGTGTTTGGATACTCTGCGGTGCTATCACAACTACGTACGATGCGTGTCGACCAGGCAGTTGCTCTTTAGCTGGTCGGGGGTGCCCCTGTTTCGTGCGCTTTGCGGAGTACGGCAATAACGCAAGCAGGCGACTAATCTGGGTGGACGGCCCGTCGTCGTAGTAGACTTTTACACGTCCCTGTCTGTGGGGTATGATGTACGTCTTCATGTTGACGTATTTGCTGTCTGTTTGTACCCGCTCACACCACCACACAACCAACCATGGAAACCAAAACAAAACAAGAAATGCTTGCGCGCGGCGGCCCCAGGTATGCCGAGGCTAACTCGGGCAGAAATCCCTTCCGTGGCACCGAGTACTGGGTGATCCCGATGATGATCGCTTTCGCTTCCTACGTCGCCCGGTGGATCGCGGACCTGAGCTGCTCCGCGTAAGTACTATGTCTCTCGTGCTGTAGTGACGATAAATTTTCTTTTTTTTGTGCCGCGTGTCTTGTCCGTTTGTTTGCGAGGCAGCAAAGATCGCGGCCGTGAGCTACTCCGCATGTGTGTACAGTATCTGCTGCTTTAGTGCCGAGAACAAATGTTTTTTTGCTTCTTTTTTTTCGGGGTCGGGGGTTAATGTCTATTTTCAAGACATCCACCAGGTAGTGTTTGAAGGATTTTTATGAAGCTGGCCATGCCCGCCATGAGTGGTTGACGTGTTTCAATGCGCCGTTATCATTAAAGCCTCCGATCGGTACGTGGGTCGGTCGGGGTGGGCCCGTCCGTCCGTCGCAAAGTTAACTTTCCCGCGGTCGGAGCACGTGTGTCCCAGCAGTCTCCACACCACCCCGTCCCCGTCACCTGTGACGGCGTTCTGTAGCGCCAGCGAACGCGTCCGAGTCTGTAGCATATTTCACTTCGCTGTTTTGCCACGCTATTATAGTGGTCTAAGGCTGTGAAGCCGAGCACATGCCGCGCAACAAACGACCCTGCTCGAACTGTTGTGGTTATGTTGTAGATGTTCCCTGCTGCTGTTGTTGACTCTGCCCTCCTTAGCCGGGAACGCGTCCATGGGCAGACGACCCTGTAAAACCGGCACGCCCCCCCCGCACTCTTGGGCGTTGTTTTCCGAGTTTCTCGTCCTCTTGCGGCAAACAAAACCGGCCTGTAGAGAACAAGCCACCACTCCAGAACCCCTTGATTTGCTCCGAGGCCCGTTTCTTTTATTCTCTATGGGGTACCGCAATACCTGGTATCGACTTTACGAGTTTTTATTTGTAGAGCCCCGTATCTGAGCGCACCAGTTCTCGAGGCCGTTTTCTTGTAATTCTGAACTCTCTTTTTTTGGAGCTTGGGTTTCTGTACATGGCAGGTTCTCAGGTGGTGGTGGTCGCTGTGGTTGTCGTTGTTTCATAATAAAAACCGTTTACGATCTCTCTACCCAGTACCTCCATCTATCCGTACTGATCTGGCATTTGACGCGGTCGTTTCTCGTTTGTTATGTAAATCACGCGTACCGCACGTACGTGTGCCGTCGTTTGTTTTCCCCTTTTTCTCCTTGCGTCGGCAGGTGGTCGGACTCGTGCCGCAAGACGTCCGACACGCTGGGTTTCATCTACTTCGCGATGGTGGTGGTGCTGCTGGTCATGTTCCGGCAGAAGCTCAAGGGCGTCGCCGAGCACTTCGGCCACCTCCTGCCGGTGTTGGTCGGTAAGCAGCATGTCGTGTGTAGCCTTTTCTGTGGCGACTGCTTGTTTGTTCTTCTTCACACTCCCCTCTACCACGATCCGTCTCAGTATAGAGGTCGATACGAGCAGTACGTCAATTATGTCTTGTAGCCCTTTTCTCTCTGGCGTTTGTTCTGCTTAACTCCCCTCTACCACGATCCGTCTTAATATTGAGGTCGATACGAACAGTAGCATGTCAATTATGTTTTGTGGCCTTTTTTTTCTGGCGTCTACTCTGCTTGTTTGTTCTGCTTCCCTCCCCATTACCACGATCCGTCTCAACATAGAGGTCGATACGGTAAAGGTGTTCTGGGTGCATACGAAGTGGTAATTTCCATGTTGCGTCATCCCTCCCACTTTCTCACCACGTTTTTTTTCACGTTGGGAGCACCAAACGATTACGACAGCGTTGTCGGGTCTATTGCCCCCTTTTTTTTTGAAAACGCATGAGCGCGAATGCAGCCGGTTCAGTCAATCATGTCTGTCCCCATGGGTGAGCGATGAAACCACTCTCTCGCACCATCGAGAGCCATGCTGTGTGTGGATTGTTTTCTCGGCAAGAAGAAGGTGGACAATTTGTTTAGCAACTTTCACACACACACGCCTCCTTGCATGTCTGGACGTTTGTTCTGTGACCGCTGTAACGGTTTCGTTTTGTTTTTCTCGGGCACATGTACTGTAAGCCAGGTCGCACACCATGCATGTAGAGTGTCTCCCGGTCTTTGGCTGATCCGAACCATCAGCTTTGTCTCCGCATCATCTTGGTTGTCGTTGTTCGTGTACAACACCGCACCCAACGCCCCGTCCGGTCCTTCAACCGCCCCCTCCCTCGCCCGCCGCAACTGTTTTTGCGGTTTTTCCCCTACTCGGGGCGATGTTTAGGAAACTTGAAGGAGCAAGTGCAGCAGGCCAACAAGAACAAGACCCAGTAACAACTACCCTCCCTCCTTAGAAGACAGGCGCCACCACCGTGTTTTCGCTCGTCGAGACAAGCGTTGTGATTGTGGTTCGTTGATTGGGCAGAGACCCTCCCTCCCTCCAACAAAAAGCAGCCTTGCTGTTTTTGTTTCAAAGATGTCGATGGGGAAGGCCCGGGATGGCGGGGGCGAGGGTGCGAGTCCCTCGAGGTAGTCATTTTGGCGATTCACGGAGCCCCCTCTGGGTGTGGAAGCTGGAGACACACAGCTGGGGGAGGGAAGTGGGTCCCCCGCTGACAGGTGTTCTGTTGTTCTTGTGTCTGGATAGTCGGCACAAAGCTGCCGCTACGTACTATTATTATGATTTTTCTTGGTTCGAAAGGTGTTTCGTTTCGTGTTTTTTTTTTATTCTGGTTCGGAAATGTGGTTGATCAGCAGCGAACTACCCTGCCGGAGGGTCCGTCCCTCCGTCGCCACGCGGGCAGCGTTCGTATTGACACACCTACAGAACGCGCCGCCGCCTAAAGATTCTGTGGGTTCGACAATCAAGGTTAACGAGAGAAAAAAGGAGAGAAAATATTTTTTTTAAGGGCTTGACCACAAGAACAGGGTTCTCAGTTATTTTCCTACACTAATACCTATATAGGTGGTCGCTGTTCGGTTACCCCGCAGAGGAAAAAAAGAAAGAGCGAGCCTCGGGGAATTGTAGGTTAGGTTGGTCTTAAGTGGGGGGGCGCGTTCTGTGGTACTTGTCTTTTGCCCTGCCGAGCCGTTCACGGGCGCATGATTTTGCGTCGCCCCCGGCGCGCGTAAGAACCGCAACGATTCTGAGCGCATCATTTTTTTTTTCCCAAAGGATGTGGAGAGGCGGTTCGTTGTTTTCGGGAGGCGACGGGACCGGAACGGTCGCGCGTTCTACTCTCTTTCGTCCCCTGCGATGATCTCGCTCTGCCTCTGGCATGCTCTTGCTTGCTTGCGTCTCGTGTACTCCGGGTTTATCGGACCCGCCGATGCTTGTTGCGGTCGTCGTCGGGAGTGTTGGGCGAACGGGGTAGGCAGGGAAGAGTCGGGTAGTGCGGTGCGTGAGTCTGGTTTTCGTCAGCGGTGTGTGTGAGCGTGCAAATGTCCCCCCTTGTGTCGGTCAACGAGGCAAGGCAGGCGGCGGGCGGCGTGGTGGCTGTTGTGCGGTCGGTCGGAACGCACGGTCGGTGGGTCCGCCTGACTCCAGGGCTTTTCGGCGGCCCACTGAATGCTCTCCATGCCGTTGTTGTTGCTTGTTCGCGTTCGGGGTGGGGGGGGGGGGGGGGGTCTGTGGTAAAGTGTTTCGTTGTGGCTGGCCGTGCGATGTTGGTTTCAGCTGCTGCCTGGCCGACCTCGTTGCATAGATATCTTTCATGTCGTGCCGTGTGATTGTCTTGTGCCGCTGGCACAGCAGTGTGGGTGATGGGAAAAGAGTTGCGGCGAGGGATGTGATTTGTGCCCCGTCGTCCGTCCGTTGTAGTTGCCGTATCGCAGGCGTGATAGCTCTTGTTGCAACCGCAGCAAGGATTGCATGGCATGCCTATTGTTGTAGCCGTCTTTTTAGTCCTTGGATGGAGTTGGATAATGATAATACTGTACCAGGTTTGTTTTTCGCTCGTCGTGCTTCCTCGGCCCTTCGGCCATTCGAACGGATGTGGTTCGTGCTTTTTCTTCTTTGGTGCGTGCATGTTGTCAAACACTGTCGCCTTGGGGCACAGGGCGACTTTTTCAGCCAGCGACGCCCTGACTCCCAAAGGGGTTGCTTCTCCGATTGGTGGTCATTGTGTGGGCCACTCGCCGTGAAAAGGACAGATTTTCACCGGCCCCGAAAACACTTCTGAAGCCGTAATGACCGGCGGGTAATCAACTTGTAATTGACATTTGTATTGACAGGGCATTCTTCTAAACAGTTTTGAAGGCAGCTGTAGTCTACGTGATGAACCATTTTTTCAATTTTGATGTCAACCGCGCTCTCTCCTGTTGCTGAAGTCTTGCTCCACGTACTCTGTGGGCCGGTCACATTGAATCGAAATGGGACAAAGCAACACGGGATTACTACTCGAGACACGGAATAGAGGGGGGGAACGATTATTTTACTTCTACATACGGCCTCTAAAAAAACACATACACAACCCCCCACACACCTCTATCGGTTTGCTATTAGCCCCCTCGTGGCGAGCTAGTTAACCCCCCCCCCCCGCCTTCTTCTCGGCTGGCTTCGACTTGTTTGTCCAACACCTTCGCCTGTTCGAGCCGCTGCCGAGCGCGTGGCGACTCGTGCTGCCCCTCCTCGTTGGCAGCCGCCGCCGCCGCCGCCGCCGCCGCTTGGTTGTCCTCCTTAGCGCCACCGCCGACCGTGGCCGCCGCTGCAGCGTCGGTGGCGGCGGCGGCGGCGGCAGCAGGGTTCGGAGCGGTCACTGACGGGGACGAAGCCGACCCCCGCATCTTCCTCGTCGAGCCTCGCCTGGGGGCCTTGCTGTTGCTCGTCCTGCTGTTATCGATGGAGGGGGGCGCCTCGCTCGTCGCTGCCAATCGCGCCGCCTTGGCGGTCTCCTTGTTGTTGCTTGACGTCAGCGTCGGCCGTTTGGTCTTCCGGGCTGTCTTCGCCCTGGCGGCCTGGTTTGGCTCTGGCTGCTGGGTCGGCGGGAGAGTCTCGCCGGCCGCTCTCCGTCGCCGCGGTCTTTGCATGGCCGGGAGGGGTATGCCAAAAAGGTTACAAGAGTACGGCGGAGTCCGTTCGATTTGTGGCTGAGTGGGGTTGTTGGCTGTCTGGCGTGAGTGGGGGCACCACCGGGGCTACATGAAGACAGGTGTAGTGTATCAAGTATTAACGCCCCGGTGGTGCCCACCCTCTAGACTACCCAATTCACGCCCTTGCGGGAAAAAAGGTCAGTCAGCTATTTGTACGATCGATGCAGTATTGTCAGCGGTGCGTTGTGGTACTACAGTACTGTACCATAGACCTGCAGTGGAAGGTCCCGTTTGACCTATCCGGGACTTGCTCCCCCTAAACAGATCAACCATCCGTGCATGGAGACACCTACCTACGTAATGGTGAGATGAGATAACGGTCATTGCGTATCACTCCGGTGTTGGTTTTGGTGCCCTACAATAGTCCCCATGATATTCTTGTTCACCTTCGCATCCAGCGCCGCAGGATGTCGATCGCGTTGAGCGTGACCTTCATGATGAGATACTCTTCTTCAGCGGACCATACCTTTAGTAAGGCATCGATGTGGCCGTCGTCCCGCAAACAGCAAAAAAGTCATGGTAGCGTTTAGGGGGTTTCAATGTGGCGGGCCGGGCTCGAAGGAGAAATCGCAGCACACGGACAAATATTCTGTCCATATTGCATTTTTGACCGGTGGGCGGGGTGATACGAGGGAAGCGAGATGTAGAAGGATCAGGCGTGGTGACAGGCGCATGGGACACACATGGGTGTTGGATGGACAACCAACCACGACGAGCTCACCACCAACGTGACATTTCTTGATCATCTCTCTGGTCCACCGATAGCGGTGAGAGAAATACTGTGTCTGGTTCTGAAAATAACGAAAACGAGGCGGCGATGGATGACATCTGAAGGGATAACATTTGTTGCCGAGAGGTGGATGGACGGGCAAACAATAGAGAGACGGCGGTGGCACTTACGGGCATTGCTACCCTGAGCGCTTCGTCCAGATCCACGCTTGGTCGGCCGGCATTCGGCTTGTTGAGCTTCTCTCGTCGGCACTGGTCATCCAGGCTCTCTGCGAGCCTCCCTATCTGCGAAGGACGGTCCGACGTGATGATTAGTGCGACATTCACGTCGTGCGTACGTGTGCGTGCGCGTTTCTTTAGTTGGCATAGACCGCCCTTACCGGCTGACCATTGAAAATACGCCGGTAGTCTCAAAGCGGAAATACACAACAAACGCGATTATTGGTGAAATGGCAAATGTTTGCTCTACTTGCGTGTTGAATTTCTGCATCATTGTAGCATCCTGGACGCTCATCCACGGGGGTCGTGAAATCTTCGCCCTCCTCCCCGAAATCGATTCAAGGGGCCGTCGTCTTAGATAGCGACGATACCAAAAAATGTGGCATAATCAACAGCTGCAATGCTGCGTCCATTAGGGGTGGGCAAGGGGACTGTTCTGAACGAAGTTGAAGGGCCGCTCCCGCGAGGGTTTGAGAGGATTCTTGACTAAATAGCACGTAAGACGCACTTTTTGGACGGACACGCAAACAACCCGACGTACGTACGCGTGTCCCCCCGCCAGTGGTGACGAGATATCGGCATGCCCACACAATTCAGTACACACGGGACACAGCCACGCCCGCACGCCGCACACAACTCGGCGTTTACTGACCTGTATCAAGAAGACCACCATCGCCGGACACTCGGCGGGAACGTCCGGGCAGACCTGCAGCCACACCGACGAGGAAATAGACGGGAGGGAGAGTACAATCGAACAAAGTCAACAACGCCAGACGACGCGCACTCGCACTCGCAGACCCCTTACGATGTGATGGTGGCAGTTGTTCACAGAGGCCCACTACACAGCGGAGACCGGAGGCTACCAATTTCTTGCTTCTTGTAGCACCATCGTGTTTCACGACGATCTGGGTCGGTTGTCGATCGGTGTGCCAACGGTGGTATAGGGTACAGAAGCCAGACTGCACATGCCAATGCCGAAGGAACACATCGAGATAGTTTTTTCTGTGCGTGTTAAATCGTAAAAGAACGGTTGCGCGCTGCACGGAAAAGACAATCGCGGTTCTCCAGGGTAAGCGTGATGCAGAAAAGCCTCCCCACCTAACTCTTTAGCCGGGATGCCCAATCAACCCATGGCACATTTGGTTTGGCAAATCAAACGCCAGGATCATGACCAGTTTTGGTTCATCCTTCCCTTCCTTGTGAAACGTAGCGTGGGTCGGCGACAAACGCGGGACATCACCCCGTCCCGGCATGGAAGGGACGCGAACGAGAAGTCAATGGTGTAACGACTACGGCATGCGATTGCCGAGGTACAACACCCACCCTCCCACCTCTTTGACAGCCTGCATGAAGTCGTGCATCGTGACAGCCACCGGAACTTTGGCGTTGCCGAGCCACCTGCCGGGGGAGGGGGGGGGGGGGCAACGCAACATGCGACCGAAGCAGCAGCCTGCACATCGTCAGCTGAGAATGGTCAGCATCAGAGAGACACCGTCTTGCTGGCAGAACGTTCCTTTGGGTGGTGATACGTTCAAGGACAACAATCACGTCACAGCTCAATACTTGCGCCTCGCCTCGCCTCGCCGTCCCCAACCCCGAACGCCCAACGTACTGTATGTGTTGGGCGGGTGTCTCCGTGTTTGTAAGGGGGGGATGCCAGACAGGCGAGGCCAGATGGAGGAAAAACCTTTCGACGGGAGGGAGCTTGAAAGCGTCTCCCGTGACAACACTCGGTGCGAGGACGGTACCCCTCCCTCGGGCGAGGTGATTCAGTCTGTCTCAGGCCGAAGAGACCATGCGGGTTGCGGAGGGAATGCGCGGGGCCACCGAAAGGAGCTCCCGCGGCCAACTTCAGCAAGCAAGCCCACATGCACACTACTACGCGTCTACCGTCAGGCCAAGCTGCTCGGCGACGGGGATATCACGGCGTGTCCGAATTATGTCTCCTACATATACCGTGTGTGATGTTGCGGTCGGTGGTGCATGTGGGTCTTTTCTCGTGTTTCGTGTATGTCAGTGTGCCGGGTGTTTAGGAACAAAGGTTGCCGCAATCCGATGGGAAAAGAAGCCTTCGCCTGGCAGGTGATATATATCTCGCCTCCCTCTGAGAGATCGGTGTACGGCGTTAACCTACACACACAGAGCAATTTGGCATGAGAAAAGTGGACCGCACACCCACGTTAGTACCTGTCCATCTTCTCTCCCGGCGGACAAAGCTTGGTGAACATTGGGATGATGAAGTCGGAGCAGGCGAAGGGCCTGAACTCGGCCACCCGCTCCGCGTACGGTCGCGCCTGGACCATAATCGGGACTCCAATCAGCTCCGCGAACGCCTGCTCGCGCGGCCAACGTGCACGTACGTGTGGAAATGACTAGTGAGCGCCGACAGGAATGTTGTTCAAATGTTTTGCGAAAGTGCTGCAGCAAGGAGCGGCCCATACTACTCGAATCAGGTTGAAAACGAGAACTTCCAGCCCTACCGTACCGCAAGTGGTCGAGAAGATTCGTTTGCGGCGACGGAGAGGACAAGGGGCGTGAAACCAAGTGTGTGCGATCTCTTGATGTGTGAAGAACAACTTGGCTGCGAATCCCCTTTCAATCAAAACCACAACCCGTCCACAGAACTCGCGACTTGATTGTGAAAGGCACACACGTCCAAAACCCACTCACCCACGTACCACATGCTGGATATCCACCAACCACCCCCCCAAAATACAGGAGGAACAGGGTTTCCCGACAAACACGATTTCGTGACTACCCCCCCCGCCTACCCCCCTCCCCCGGTGATCGGGGTTGGGTTTTCGTCGCTTGGCAACGACGTTGTAAAACAAGCCGCCCCCCCCGGTGTTTGCCATCGGGGTTTGGGTTTTCGTCGCTTGGCAACGACGTTGTAAAACAAGCCCCCCACTCGGTGTTTGCCATCGGGATTGGGTTTTCGTCGCTTGGCAACGACGTTGTAAAACAAGCCAATTCACTTCGTGAACTCGGCAACCAGGTTACCGTTTTTTTTTTTACCCTCGTTTTTTTTTTTGGCGGTAACCATAATGGTGGTCGAGTAGATCATGTTGTGCGGGGTGGAGAAACCTCACTCCGCGCAACGGGGGATGATCGCACCACGTTGTGTTAAAATGGTCAAGCTTCCTCGAGGCAGTTACACAGTGCTTACAACTGTCTCTGGAAGTGAAAGCACCAGAAAATAAATTAAGTCATACGTAGCTGTCATCCGTACGCAAGGAAGTAAGCACAAGATGCCGAACACCCTTAGCAGGATG